AGCCTTTGAATAAAGAGACTGGATCTCTGAGAAAGCATCGCAGGCCAAGTGCTGGGTCTCGGTAAGCCCTGACACTTTCACAAGTTTGGATTACCATCTGGAAGAGGTGAGAGCTCTGGCAACATCACTGCTCTGGTGCCTTAGGTTGGCCTCTGTACCTTCTCCATGCATCTTTTGGGCTTCTTGGATTCTTGTGTGAGCAAACTAAATGCAGGCCAGGTGGTGGTTTCACATTCAAATCTCCAAATCTCCCCTTCTACCAGGGCCTTGGAAGGCATTCCAATTTATACCACCTTAAACTGTCCTCCCAGTATCCCCGTGAAGTAGGTGATACAATTGCCCTCATTGACAGAAGAGAAAACAAGAGTTCTCATAGGTCCAGGGTAGAGTCAGAACTCCTTCTAGTTGAGCACCATCCTTGTGAGGATTTGTCCTGTGGTGGGAAGGAGTGTATTAGGCAGTGCACCTTAAGCTTGCATTGTCCCACCTGCTTTCTTTTCGTGGTCCTCCCTTCATTTTCCCTTGTTGTTTGGGCCCATGTTCCACCTTTTCAGATGATCGTTTGCTTTTCATTTCTTCCCCATGATCTTTTATTTCTACTGTGCACAGGCTGCATGTGTCAGGGCCCCTTTCAGTCACCTGGCACTGTGTCGGGACAGCCAGTGATGAAAAGATGAACAGGGATGCACTTATGCTATCAGATGTAGTAGAGACAGACACATGCTCAAAAGCGTAATGCAAGCCTAAGAGAGAGAGATACTCTGGGGTATGTGCTTTGCTTTGCATTTTGAGCCAGGGAGAAAGGCCTGGCAGAAGATAACTCTCATTCCACCATCTCCTCCAAGTCTCATCCATATTTGCCTCATCTATATATATATAAAATCTCACAGAAATAAATCATCATCTTATTCAATTAACTGGATAACAATTTATGTTAAATTTTAAAAATACCTGCTAAGGCACTTTTTAAAGTCCAACCAGATTTGCTAATATTTTTCTCTTTTTATGCAACGAATTGTAGTTAGAATTAGAAATAAATGTTTGTATAGAATGAAACTAAAACAAAAGCTAAAAACACAAATATATTCCCACAAAACAATCAAAAAAATGACTGACATGGTTAAAACTAACCTAAGTAATTTGTCAAGGTAAGCATTTCACTTCTCTCTGTGCCAGAGGGATAACCAGGAATCATTTTGGATCAAACTAGACTAACTAAAGCTGTGGGCAAAAAGGGATGAGACAAGGCCAGTTTTTTTGTTTGTTTGTTTGATTTTGTTTTTTGTTTTTGTTGTTTTTTTTTTTTTTTTGAGAGGTTTTTGCTATAGGGCACGTGTGCTCGCCAGACAGACAGAGAGAGACAGAGAGACAGAAAGCGAGAAATCATCCCCCAGGGGGGTTGGCCACGCCACAATCCCTTCTCCTCTGTTCTCCTGTCGGGATCTTAGGCACGCACGCACATGCACCCGGCGTGAGTTTTAAGCCACCGGGTCCGGGATGCAAACCGCAGTGGACTACATGGGAGTCCAGCGACATAGTCATTATGCTAACTGCTGGTCCCGACAAGACCCAGTTTTCATAGCTTCAGGGGAGTAGAGACTCAAGCCCCAGATTCCTGGCCACTGCTCATTTGGATAGTAAACGAAGAATGAGACCAGCAGTTGGCATAATGGCCATGTCGCTGGACTCCCATGTAGTCGACTGCAGTTCGAGTACCGGACCCGGTGGCTTATACTCACTCCGGATACGCGTGCATGTGTGCCCAAGA